AGTGCTTTTAGCTGTATTGAAATACGTGGAGAGTTTAGCACATGTAGACATGCAAATGGAAAGCTGGGCTTCGATGTAACTGGAAGTGACTTAAATGTTCTGCTTTGAACCCTTTTCCACCCAGTCAGAGTAAAATGGAATTAGGAGCAGAGAAGGAGACATGAGCAGGATGGATGCTGGGGATAACTGTGGCATCCAGGCTATGTTGCACTAAATTGTGAGCAGCTTCCTACAGAATGTTAGTAGACACGCTGTGTTTTAAGACAAAACACAGAGGTATTAAAATCCACCTGAGCAAGGGGAGAAATAAGTTCACTTGGGCCCAGCTAAAATAGGACCTTTGGGCTCCAGGGCTGTGAATTCATTTGCTGGCCATTTGCAACCCAGTTGTGTGACTGCTCCCTCTGCCTTTCTTTTCTGCTCCATCCAGTTCTGGAGCAGCAGGCAGGATGGCCAGGGCTGCATCCCTTCTCTCTCCTGCAAGGCAGCAATAAAACAGGGCAGATGAGCAAGCGTGTGGTGCCACTGCCAGTTTTGACAATCTGGGTAAGAGACTATTTCCATTAAGCCTGACACTTAAATTGCTTATCCTAAAGAAGTAGCACGGCCATCTGTCAGAGCTGGATGTTTCTTTTTTCATGCCCCGTTGTCGCCCCCTCCTCAGCTGGTCCCTCCTTCCCCAGCAGCGGGGCTGGCGCGGGGCCCTGCCAGGTGCTTCTCACCACGTCCCGCTCTGCCAGGCGAGGGAGATGGGCAACACGAAGCGGCAGCGTTTGGGCTCTTCCAGAAGTGAAAAGCAAGAGATATCACTGCTTCTGCCATTGCTCACACTCAAATAGCTCTTCTTAAACCGCTCGCGGAGGCTCACGAGCAGTGCGCTTTATGCTGCAGGCTGCTTGGCGCATTCCGGTTTCCAACACTCCAAGGTAAAGCCATCATTTTCTTGTCCCAGCTGGGATTTGCTTTGTGTATATCCCATTTCCCACCGCTTCTGATGCGATCGTTGATGGATGAGTGCTTTTTTTCCCAGTGTGCGTGGTTTTTTAGAAAGAAATGCAAAATGCCATGGGTTTTGAAGGCCTTGCAACTACCATTATGGTTCTTAACCCACATACCACAGAAAAGCTCATATGTCACGATCTCTTTTTAAAAAAAGAAAAAGAAAAAAATGGGAGAGGAAGAAGAGTTATTTAAGAAAACCTTTTTTTTAGTTGTAAAGAAAAGCTGTGTAGTAGAGAGAGGGGGGAGCTAGATGAGCATTTGCCTTAGAGCTTTCAAGGCTGAGAAAATCTCCCCTGTTGGGGCATAAGAGCACCCTGAAACTAAAGGAAGGCAGAACAGAATTGAACCAGAAAAAAGTGTCACGTGCAGAAAGAACAGTGTCCAGAGTAGGAAGCCCTTATCAGGAAGCAAAAATATATATATACTGGTTATAGCCACCGTATGCTACGCACTCAGCCTGTTTTAGTGTACAGCAGGTAAGTGTTGCAAGGCAAAATAAATAGCTAATAGTGATAGCTGTCTTTTCCCAAGGAGGTTTCTTCTTTGGCCATGTAAAGTAGTTGATCAAAGCCGTCATTTGGAAGAGCAAAAGATAAAATGAGAGATTTCTGTGGGACTTCCTGGCAGTCTTGCAAACTGGTGGCCGTAAAGATGAGGTTGGAAGCTGTCCTAAACTGGTCCTCGAGAACTGAGTGCTCCGGATAACTCAGGACAGGGGCTTTGATTTGCCCACAAGTATATTTAAGGTTATAAATACTTTCTGTTGTGGAACAGCTGCGCTTTTTAAGAGAGCTGCTGGGCCGAGCAGCTGCCGGCAGGTATCGAGGCAGGAAACGTTCTGCAAGGAACCTTGGAGAGTCCCATCCCGCAGAGATATAAATCCCTAAATTCAGCCAGCCTGAACTCTTTTGGTTTTGCAAAACTGGTTTCAAGGGCAGACGCGCTGCCGAGCTCGGCCGAGACGCGGAGAGGCAGAGGGAGCTGCCTCCCGGGTGGAGGCGCCTTCCCGAGCATCCAGCCGTCCCGGCTGAACCTGGAATTGCTCCGTGACACAAAGCACCGATGGAACCGGTGCGTTTTCCTGTTACACTCTGTTTCCTTCGGGGTAATCTGCAAATGTCAGTGATTCTTTCCTTTGCCCAACTCCAGTGAGTCACGACGATCGCGGTTCCCGGGCAGAATTTAGAAAAGCTCTGAAATACAAAATATTTCTCCCAAGATGTCAAATGTTTTGCATGGAAGTTTGCTGCCTTTCAAGTATTCTTGCCTTGCTCTTCCCATTATGGCAGCTGTGTGTATCCTTGCAAGAGGTATTTGTATTTTAAGTACATTCTTGTAACTCAGGTGTCAAGGTCTTCGGAGAGGCAGTGATGTGCTTTAATCAGTCCCTTAACATTTCCCTACCCTTTTTCCCCCCAAAGCATTCATTTTTTAAATAATAAAGCATTCATAGTCCCTACCACCCCCACATATGCCGCTATAGAAGATGTCGTGTTCCCATCCTTTTGTCATCTCCATCTAAGCACTGTCAGAAAACAAATCAGTTGCTCGGTACTGGATACCAGGCACCATGAATATATTTATATTTACTCGAATATATGTTTACTCGAATAGATAATTGTACTGATAGTCCCTGAGCCATTTCCCCCAAACAAACGTGTGAGACACGTCCAGGTTAACTTGCCTGTTTAAATGGGAAGCTGCACGTGCTTGGCGGAGTGACAGCTTTGATCACCCCTGCTGGAAGTGTCTGTTGTCACCGCTTTGCACGTGGACACTGGCCATGTGCTCTAAAACAGCTGCCCGTAGAGCTGCCCGTGGTGCCTCGAGCTCTCTCGCGGGCACGCGGAGCCACGTGGGGCTCCTGCTTCTGCCTTCAGCTCTGGGTGCTCCACCGCTACCCGGTTCTCCTCTCTGCACAGCAAGCTGCTTTCCAAGCAGGAGCCATTGCTGTCCGCAGGGGAGGCCCCACCTGCTAGTTTTGCTCCCCGGTTCTTTTTAAGATAGTCTTGACTTGGCCAACTCTTGTACCAAAGAGAGGAGGATGAAGTGTCCCAGGCCTCGATGCCACAGTTTCCTCTGTCTCAACAGTTACGGTTGCTAGTAAGATAAAAGCTAAGAGCAGATTTCTGGAGGGTTGTCTGTTTTACTCTTAGTTTTTCCAGGACATTCATTATTGGGATTCATCTTGACAAAGCTTTGAGCATCCAGAGTTTGATTGATGGATGGGTAATGCATTATATAAATCAGGTTGGGGACAACAAATGATGTTGTCTGGTCTTATGAACAGGGATGTTAAGCGGAGGACAACTTTCCTGTTCTAAAATGGCTGCTTCCAGTTCATCTTAAATTTCTGAACGTTGTTTTCTTGCATCCTGCAAGGTTTTGTCCAGAGCTTTCAGGGTTTGAGAACCGTATTTGCAACGTGTAGCGGTCCCCAGCAGCCTGCACTGTAGCTGGGAGTGATTACCTGCCTCCAAGGAGATGCCGATTATTGCAGCTGCTTTACCCAGAAAGACTAAATTTAGTGTATACTTCGAGGAAGGGGAAGCAGAGGGAACCTGCGTGTTACTCTTGAAAGACAGGGGCCACGCTGCTTATTGCTGAGTTTCCAAGGTAGGTTTCGTGCCTGTGCTTCTGCTGATCAGATTGCCACTTAGGCCAAATTATTCTTCACATTGGTGCTTGTTATAAAATCCATCAAACTCATTCCAATTTGTGACCAAAAGTTTCAGCCTCCATCTCTAGAGGCAGGCCTGGAGCACAGGGACACGCTAGCCTTCCTACCCCAGTATATCTTGTCTAGAGGTACTTCTCGGGCGCTGCTGATTTCTGTCATCCCTTGGGGGAATCAGCCTACTTCTCCTGTCTGATTCATTCAGTGCCATCATGGTGTGTTTGACATCACCATCATTTCCATGTTTAGTGAGTTATACATTTTTTTTTAAACGGATTGTGACATTTTTAAGTGAATCGGGTGGAAAAAGTAGATTCTTGCAGAACCAGGAACATCTGCTGCTCACACGCGTTTGTTCGGCAACGTCGCAAAATTAATACAGCCCTAAGTAGAGAGGGAAAATGACGCTTTGGATGTACAAATTCATTAGCTCTACTGAACCTGCAGGTGCTTGGCTGCCAGGGGAGGGTTGTGTTGCCCTGGCCGTGGCTGGCTGCTGGTGCCTGGCGTGTTTCCAGCTTGCTTTGCTAGGGCATAGCTGAGCACGAGCTAGAAATGCGAGGAGATTCTCTAAACGCTTTCTTTAGTCTTTTGATGGACCAATTAGTTGACCTGGCCTAGACTTTGTGACGCGGCCGTGTTTTTAATAGTTCTCCCGTGTGGAAAAGCCAAGGAGGACGTGGAGAGAGCAGCGATGGAGCAGAGGGTTTGAAGGCAGCTGGAGGGGAGAGTGATCGCAAGGAGCATCAAAAAAAGAGCGCTGAGCAGCCTTTCTTTTGCCTGTTTTCTGGCTAATCCAGCTCTTCCGCAGCCACATTTTGTAAAATTTAGGTTATTAGGAAAATTACTGACTAGGTACAGAGTAAAAAATTTAAGGAAAAGCTGATAAATACAAAACTGCCCTTGTCGTTTCTCCTTCAAAGTGTGGAAGCTTAATCCATTTTCGACCTTCTTTTTCAGGCTCTGGCAAGCAGCTTAGGAAACGCAGCCTGCAGCGTACGAGGTGACATCCTGCCTAAAATATTTAACACAGGCTGCTCTCAGAAAGCTACACCTTGTGTGTATGAGCTGTTAGAAGAAGGTGTAGCTGGCTCGTGTGAATACTTGCAAGGTGTTCTTGCCATGGAATAAGTAGCCATAAATAAATGCGGAAGCAGGTGTGAGCTGGATGGGAGAATCACAGAATAAACACGCTTGCATTTAAACATCGGCTTCCCCAAAAGTTAATAAAGCAGCTTCGTTTGCTGCCGTGTTTGTTGGATAAACATATGGAAAATAATTGTTTTAAGGTATATTCTAAAAGTAAGGAGGTGTTTTGCAGGTTATTAATGCTGCACTGGCTCTGGCTGCTAAACCACAAAGCAAACTAGCCCAGGAAAACATGGATCTCTTCAAAGAGCAATGGGAGAAGCAAGTCCGGGTGCTGACCGATGCCGTGGATGACATTACTTCCATCGATGACTTCCTGGCTGTTTCAGGTATGAAGGGTGCAGAAAATGCTGGTGCTCAAAGCAGAGTTATTCCCACACACATGTATTTATTTGCTGCAGCTGTTCCAGAGTCCTGTGTGTCCCGTGGACGGGAAGCTGTGGGGACACTTCACCTGGCAGAGTATAGCATAAAAATAGAGTTTCTGGCACAAGGAGGAAAGGTATTTTTACACGGCAAGATCAGTAACAGTTTAGTGCAGCAAGTACAGTGGAAACCTGTCATTACACTTAGGGAATGCACATGTATAAATGTATATATACATTTACGTGTCAGCAGACAGAGCAGTTTAAGCATAGTAAAAGACACTTTATGGCTCTATATTTCAAACTATTGGAGCTGTAGATGAACTATCATGTTGTAGACTGAGCTCAGTGGTAATATTGAGGCCATTAGTAAAAAGACCGTCCGCTCATTTCACTTCAGGCTCCCCTTATATGAAGAAAAAGCAGTATCAAAATAAGTTGATGTGGGTTCATAAAAATAAAACTGTTCATATAGAAAATGTTTAGCCCAGTTTTTGAAGTTGTAAAGTGGAGCAGAGAATTATCATAACAGATTCATGTCACTTGGCACAGTGCTTGCCAGAAAGTCTGTTTTGTCAGAATCATTGATAAAGACCTACTAGTAGTTGCTGTGCCCTAGAAGTGGTAGGGGATTTTTATTTTCACCTCTGCTAATTCTGATAGGATGTAATTAGAGGACAAATGTGATGCAATTACTTGAATTCTGTCTGCATTTGCTTTCACAAATTACCTCTGCAAACTCAGGGTCTCATTTTCTTAGTGCAAACAGACTTGAGCATCTCAAGTGATCTGAAAGCTCCAGTAGTCAAAAGATATTTCACAGAAAGATGTGTGGGCTCAGGGATAGCAGGCCTGGAAAATGTAGAAGTAAAAATCTGGCCCTGAATGGAAAGACTTGTCTTTTTTTAATTAAAAAAAAAAAAAGGTAAGTTGTGCTTCTACTAGGAGTCAGGAGTATAATCAAGCATGTTGTGTTGTGGTTCCCTGGATTCTTAATTAAAAAAAAAATCTTTGAAATGAGTTAGCATGAGTTTATTGGGCAATTGAATGTCCCAGTTCTTTCTGCATGTTCTTCGTTGTATCGGTAGTTGAAACAGCAGAGCTGTGAGGAGCCTATTTTGGGCAAGTATTTTTAGAGAGGATTGTGCATGGAAGTTCGTGGCTCCATCTGGAGTTTGCCCACAAGTGTGTAGAACTTCTTTTGGAGAGGAAAAGGTGTTACTCGGGTTATGAAAAGCATCCTGCATCAAGCTGCTCTGCTGTATCATCTCAGTTGCCATCACGGCTCCATCTTTGTCAGGCTGAGAGGTCCTCCCTCCTTTGGCCCGTTCTAAGAGGTTCAGCTGCTCTGCTTGGAGGAGGCAGCTTGCAGTGCTGCTGCACTGCTAAAGGGCTCTGTAAAACCCCCAGCTTGGCAATCAACAGGAAACCCTTGTTTTCTGAGGCGGTAACAGGCTGACTTGGGAGGGAATTTTTCCCTCAGTTGAGTGCTTGCCACCCAAAAAGATACTGTGGAAATGCTGTAATTGGAGAGAACTTGAGATGCTCAAGTGCATTCGGCACATGGGCTGTGCATTTGCCGAATTCCCAAAGAAACGTTCGGAAAATATTAAAGCAATAAAGATTTTTTGGTTTGTTTGACCTTTGATGAATGTTTTCCATCTAAATGTCACCTCTCCAATTCTCAGTCTTAGCTCTTTTTGGATAAAATAGTGGCAGGTGTGATTTATACCAAGAACCATCCAAGGTTATTAAGATGTTCATGCATATAGTTGGGATTGTACCAGCTACTATGTGTGATGTAAGCAGAAATAAAAGGGTTCGTGTGTTTATATATACAGATAGATGTGACATTCCTACAGCATGTTGCACTCTCCAGCCAAAAAAGAGTGTTTGCTGCTTTGCTCAGTTTAAGGCTAAAGATACTCAAATCCTGAGCAGTGAGCACTGCAGAGAAGCCTACAGACTGCAGCATTTTATTAAGATCTTAACACAGGAAGGGCCCTAGTGAGGGCAACAGTTGGGCAGTAGCTAATCATGGGTGCACCTAGGATTAATAGTGGAGGAGACCTGCAATCTAAAGATCCTTCCTACATGCTACCACAACCACGAGTGATTTGCAGGGTGGGGAGTTTCAGCATCAGCCAAATCCACCACGTAACTCTGTTCACGTTTTTCGACCTTGTTTTGTTTAATCTGCTGGATTTGAAAACTCTCTTGTACTTTCTGTATTTCTTGCCACCCTTATCAGTCCCTTCCTTAATACTCTGCATTTGTTTGGGTGCCCAATTCTGATCTTCAGAACAGCGGCTGCTAGCACCGTGTGTCTGTCAAATTTAATGTTCTCAAGCTCTCTATGTATCCTTTCAAATGCTTTAAAAATTCCTTTATTTGCTGCCTTCTCTTTCTGTGGTGCCCAAAGAGGTTTAAGCTAGAGACTTCCCATCACAGTTGAGCTACTTCATCTGCAAGAGCCTCTGAGCGAGCGCCCGTGGTCCCAGTGATCGTCCTTGCTCATTACCAGATGAATAATGTATTTATAAGCGCACAGAAGCACACGAGCATTTCTTCTCCAACCACATCTATGACACTTCAGTTTGACCCAGTTTGTTTGCTCTTAAGTTTATTTTTTCTGAAAGATCTTGGCCTTTCCTCTTATCCTATCTTACCCTGTTGTTCCACCACGACTTTTTTCCATGTACTCATTTTGGCAGGCTCTGCGCCACCCGCACACCATCTCCAGCAGGCTCCTGGCTGTCTCCAGGCGTGTGGACCTCTTGGCTACCTGCGTCGCTCTTCAACAAGCTGTTTTCCTCTTTCTGCTCCCTTGCCTAAAGATCATGGAATCCCAGAATGGTTGAGGTTGGCATCTAGGGATCATCTAGTCCAATCCCCTGCTCCAGCAAGGACACCTAGAGCAGGGGCACAGTGGTATCTGGGTGGGTTTGAAGATCTCCAGAGAAGGAGCCTCTCTGGGCAGCCTGTGCCAGGGCTCTGGCACCCTCACAGGAAAGAAGTTCTTCCCCATATGGAGATGGAGCTTCCTGTGTTTCAGCTTGTACCTGTTGCCCCTTGTCCTGTCACTGGCCACCACTGAGAGGAGTTTGGCCCCATTCTCTCTACATCCAACCCTCAGAATCACTCCAGCTTTTGCATTGCTGTCAAATCATTTGTGATTTAAACAAATCTCACACTGCTTCAAGATATGCTTTTTCTGTGAAGAGAACAGATTTAACATGAGAATCTTAGAAAGCTGAAAAATACAGACACCATTTCAGGCATGGCAGGTGGAATTAAGAAGATATTTAGGAAGAATTTGGGAATTTGGTAAAACAAATGATTGGCAGCATTGGCTTTTAAATGTCCTGTGACTTAATTTATGCAGCAAGGAGCTCGAGCAATAAACAGGCTGTGTTTTGGCCCGACAGTGATGTTTTCGTTTTTACTGTTCTAATTTGCAGGGATGTCTGTCTCTTGCTTGAAATACCGAAGGTGCCTGTGCTCTTTGCTGGAGCTCTGGTGCCGTGGCTGCCTGCTCCCTGACTTGTCAAACTGCTAACGAACCCGCGCTCGTCTCTCCTAGGACCACGTCCTGCCCCCGGCTGAACTCGCTCAGTCTGGGCTGCTTCGGAGGGATTTCACAAGTGGGATTTTTGTCCAGGTGCCTTTCAGAGGTCTTGCAATATTGCATCTGGCTCTATTAATTGTGTGTAATTTAAGCATAACTCTCCCACCAATGATCCTTTCAACCAGTTAATAAAAATCCTCTATCAGTCAACTCTTATATACCACTTATTTCTGCAGAACTTGTGCAAAATGGCTCTTTTATGACTTGCTTGGGGAATAAAAACCACTTCAGTAGCACAGGTTGACAGTGTAGCGTGATTAAGTCGCTGGTAAGTAACGCTGGAAACGATATTAAGTGACAGAGCAGAAATGTTTCCAGGTTGTTTCCTTACCTAGCAGCACCAGTGCTGGTGTTGGATTGCAACATCGTGGCGTTGGTGCCGATACAGAAACGAGGTGTCTGACAGGTTTTGGAAGACCTGATGCAGGGGTTTCCTCAGATGAACACACAAACCTATCCGGGCGCCTTTGAAAACCTCCAAAGGGGGCTGGGGCCTCTTGGGTTTGGTCAATTAGAGAAAGTAGCTCTATTAAAAAAAATCTGTATAAAAAGAAATATATATATTTAAGAGTAAATTACAAACATATGCTTTGGCTTCATTGTCTTTCGAGACAAGGAGAACTCTCTTTGCTGGATCTCCTCCTGCATCGTCACTGTGTGTGTTACGTGTCTTGGACTTTCAGGGAAGATTAACAGCTTAATATTCCCTGATGGCTTGTGTGGAAACTAGAAACGTGTCAGAAGTGCCCTGCTCTATCCGAGTGCTGAGCGGGTTAGGTGTGTGGCCGAGGCCGGTGCCTCATCGCCCCGCGCGCGTGGGGTGAAGGAGGGAGAGGCTTGCATGGCTTTGGAATAAGGACTTGGGGAGTCCAGGGCAGGGACGTGGCAAGAAACAAGTTTGGGGAGAATTCAGCCAGCCTCAGGTTCTCCGTAAAGACAAGTCCGAAAAGCAGCAAGAAGCCTGGGTGCCACGAGGCGCACGGACTGACAGGTTTTTTGACAACCAGTCTGGACGGGCAGCTGTTCTCCAGTTCTAATGAGCTGTCCTAAAAATTAATGCTTGCCAACATGTGGCTGGAGGTTTTTTAGAGCAGGTCAGACGGAGAAATTGCTGTGCTGATGTACGCCGTCGAAAAGAAGATATTGCTGTCTAAATCCTCCTCTTTTTACCACCAGAGAACCATATTTTAGAAGATGTAAACAAATGTGTCATTGCTCTCCAAGAAAAAGATGTTGATGGTTTAGACCGCACAGCTGGTGCGATTCGAGGACGTGCAGCTCGAGTCATTCATGTTGTCACCTCGGAAATGGATAACTATGAACCTGGAGTCTACACGGAAAAGGTGTTGGAGGCGACGAAGTTACTCTCCAATACAGGTAAGAGTCAGTTCTTCCAAAATACCCAAACTCCTGTGGCTTAAAAGGGAAGGGGCAGATGGACACTAATGTGCCTCTGAAATCTGTTAAAGGCTCAATTTACATACTGCAAGGAAAATGAGAGGGAGTTATTTGCAGAGCTGATGCAAAATGAGAAATGTAATTTTGCTTTGTCGGCTGGCTGAAAGTCGAGCAACGCCACAGGTCTGCCTGAATGCGATTGCTGTGCAGAGGGGAAATCAGGGACTGAGTCCCAAACAGTGAGTCTGGGTTTAAAAGCTAGGCCGGTCGTGTTGTGTTATTGCACAAAGATCAGAAAATAATATTTCTGCTGGGTGGGATCACTGCTAGCAGAACGTGGCTCCTGGTAAAGTAACTCAGACCTGTCGTGGGAAGGTGGTGGGAGAGCAATGTTGACAACCAAAATCAGCACAGTATTTCGTAAAAATGAGAGGAGACTTATATTTTTGGGTAAACTTTGTAAAGGTCCTTAATTTTAAAATTGTTATATATATAAATATATATATATAGTCCCATGCCTTTCCCTTCCTTCCCTCCCTACCCCCAAACAATAAATCACCATGTTCCCTTTGGAGGAGCTGTTAACATTCATAGGGGGAAGGAAGGAAGGATCCAGGTTGCTTCCAAAAGGGCTGGGCCAAGGATAAGTTGTTTTGTTTTGTGTTTTGCTTTAATTACAACTCTGGAGAATCAAGGGTGACGCTGAAGAACTGAGCAGACTGGGAATGGATGTGCGATGCTCTTGCTGCGTCTGCAGTGAGTCACTGCAGTGCAAAAGTACAAGCTGCCCTATTCGGTGACTTCTTAAATCTGAGCTTAATGGTGATAACATTGGGTTTAGGGAGGCTTTCAAGAGATACACATCTACAGGGGATAGTAAATAAACACTTTATATTTTATTCTGTGGAGTCTTAACTGCTTCCCCAGTGTTTTCTCCTTGCCCGCTAGAAGGATATGATAAAGTTAAAAACTTTTTTTACTGTGCAAAGGGGGTAAAAAATAGCACAGCAGCAGAAATTGAAATGGAGGTAAGATTTGAGCTGCAGTGCTGGTGGTCTTTTATAACCAGTGTTTTGAATTTACATGAAACTACTGCACAGTTCCAGGAATAATTACTAATGAGTAATACATATAGGGGAGTTTAGAGCAAAAAAGGCTGTTGGAGTGGGGACTGACTATTATTTTGTGTTCTTCATTCAGTTATGCCACGTTTTACTGAGCAAGTGGAAGCTGCTGTGGAAGCACTAAGTTCAGACCCGGCTCAGCCAATGGATGAAAACGAATTTATCGACGCTTCCCGCCTGGTGTATGATGGTATTCGAGATATCAGGAAGGCCGTGCTGATGATCCGAGTAAGTTTTCTGTACTTAAACCTCCTTCTGTTCTTCCATTCTAGCTCCCCTTTATTGAACTACAAAGCATCGGTTCTGCTCCATGCAGACAGTCTAAGAACTTCAGTTTATGTTTTCAGTCTTAAAAGCTGCTAATCACTCAGTGAAGTACTTCAGAGGAATGTCCCAACTTAACTTCGATTAATAAATCTGGGCATTGCTGATTGCCAGAGGTGTGATGCTCCATAGCCTTAATGCATCTCTCGTAATATCCTGTGTTGCCTCCCTTGTTCCTGCGCTAAACTTAGCGACCCCTGATTGAACAGCAGCAAATGGATTCTTAGAGCAGATACTTTTCGATGGTCGGAGAGCTTAGAAATAAAATCTGCTTTGTCTTTTGTGAGTAAGCTTGAAGAATGCACAGTTGGTGGCAGATGGCTTTGGAATTCAGCCTGTGGTGGCCTGTGTGTTGCTACAGCACGTGATGCGTTGGGCTAGTTGGGCAACCTGCCCAAACAGGACCTATTTCACAGGAGCTCTGTCTCCTCTGTGGTTTTTTTCATCGTATGGGTCTGCTTCACACGTGAGCCTGCCCTGGGTGCCCCAGCGGGCCCCTCCTGGGCTCTGTTTTGCAAGCACAAAGCAGCTGTGCAAGGAGAACCGGCACCAGGAGCTCAAGCCGCGGGCCCTGCCCCACGTCCTGCTCTCCCCGCGTCGGTAGCTCTGCCCAGCAGGACATGGGGTACCCAGAGCGGGTGCCCTGGTGCTCGTTTGGGGGATGTGCTGCTCCTTCATACACCTGAGACACCCTGGGTTTGATTGCTAGCCTGCTTAGTCCTCTTTGGCAACTATTTTGTATGACCTCCTTTAGCTCCATTTGTATTGCAAGATGGCTGTGTTGCAGAACACATTTTTTAAATTAAAGTTGCAGGAAAGAAATCCGTAGAACAGGCTGTTTACTTGCATCTTATCTATTAATCACAACGTACTTCATTTATCAGTCAAGTTCTCTGCTGATCCAGCTCTGCAGAGTTGTCATGAAGTGCCACTCCGGGCAAGGATGTAGTATTTTAACAAACAGATGTTGTTTAAACTTGATAAGCTGTACAAAAATCTTGCCAGCTATAGACCAGTAGTAGCAAAAATGAAATCTAGGCAAGCAGGAACTGGGTCAGATGTGTTTAGCCTGCAGCTTAAAAGCAGGCTCTTCCTAGCGAAAATTTTAAGCTTTTCCTGGGGGAGAAGAATAAATTTTGATATATTGTATCTGTTGTTAATTCAATAGATGCTTTGATTCATAATAGTGCTAAAGAGTACATCTGTGCTTGATAAGCAGACCTTAAAAGTTGTGTACAATATTAGCTTCGGGGTGTCAAGTGATGCTATTAACATTGAACCGATTTGCCAAAGCATTTTTTTTTGTATTAAAAAAATCTTTTTTTCTGCTTTTCTGAGTGCATTAACATCTCCTGACAAATCTCAGCTGTTCAGTTAGTGGTGTGTAATTTGGGGGGACCCATCACATTTCACCTGAGCAGTCAGGCCTGCTGATTTACCTTTTTGTTTAACGCCTTGAATACTTCTTTCCTTCACTTATTTTCATTCTCTCTGCTCACAGACCATCAGTTTTGCTGATTCCTAAAGCCATGAAATCCCTTCTTTGACTCTTAACTGAATTACTGTTATTCCTAGACTCCCGAGGAGCTGGATGACTCTGACTTTGAGACCGAGGATTTCGATGTCCGAAGCAGGACAAGCATTCAGACTGAAGATGATCAGCTCATTGCTGGACAAAGTGCCAGGGTAAGGAAAAAATGAGGTGCTGCAAACCCCAGCCTCCCTTTCCCACTGAGAAAGAGTTTGATTTGCTTTGAAAATCCAATTTAAGCTTTCCTGCTTTTCTGGTGAAAGCGTTAGGGCAGAAAACTGATATTCTGTGTTTCCTGTCTTCTTCTGAAAAGGAGGTTAAGTGAATGTAGCATCTGTTGGTGCGATGGTCATCAGCAATGTCTGTGTCTGGGAGGCTCTGAAAGATCGAAATCCTTTCAGGGCTGATGAACCACTTGCTGCTTCCCTGCCGGGTCTGTTGCAGACACCAGCACTTTGCTGGGCAGACGGGGAGGCACGGGGGAAATGACTCCCCGGTTATTTCCACACACACTTCACAGCAGGGTTTTCAACAGGCAGAGAGCAGATCCGTGGGTAAGAAGCAGGTGCTGCTGTAGCTCAGGTGCCTTTTGACAGAATGTCTTGCCAAGCACGGGCTTGCGCCTGTGGGGCCTCTGAACATTTAATCAAGAGGATGTTGAAACCAGCTTCAAAATAAAATAATTTAGACTAATGCTGCCTCCTAGAACTGTTAAAAATGTGAACATAGATATGCAATATTTAATCATTAATAGGTGAAAACTTACAATAGGTAAAGCCTGTTTTTTTCCTTTAATGTACCCATTTTATTTATTTGACATGTTCCATTTGAGATCAATAGCAATTTATACTCTTGGGAGAGTGCCACGAAAGATTTTGTGTGAAAGCTCTTCGAGCCTGAAACCAGGCAAGTAGTTAGTCCTTATTTATCAAACTACTGGCACATTGGCTTTGGAATTAGACGAGCTGAGGGTATTTTTTATGCTCTCCTTTCTTGTGCAGGGGAGCAGTATTCCCGTGTTCCCTTCCTCCCTTTTATTTAAATGCAAACGTTTCTAATTCACTTCATAGCGCGCGGCTGCTACCAGAGGCTCTTTCTTGCTGCAGCCTCCTTTTCACCTGCTCCTGGAGGCTTGAATGCTCCTTGTGTTAGTGAAAAGAAGGGCACTGAGTCTCCCATAGAGGCTGTAAAAGTAGTCTAATAGATTTTATTCAGGAGTAAGAGCACACATTCTTCATATTGCTCTTTCCTCAGCAGCCTGTTTCAAAATGGTGCATTTAGCTTTTTGTACAAAAGACTCAGGTAATATTTGTTCTGTTAGCTGGACCAATGCGAGATACCGATGTGGAGCTTCCTTTGATAAATGTTAAATTTTGCAAAAATGGCAGCTCCCTCTTCTTCATGCTGTTTTTTGGTGGAGGGAGGCTCAACATGGCAAACTTGGAGCTTTCACAGTTTTAATATGCAACTGCATGTGTTGCAGGTATCAACCTGTCTTTCTGGGCACTCTTCGTTTTCTAATGTTAATAGATAATTCATACTGCACAGGCTTTGGGTTGAGAGGGAAGAAAATGGTTCGGTAAACCCTCTAGATATCAAGATGGCTATTAAAGTTTTATCCCCAGCTACATGACTTAAATTGGTTATTAGTGAAAATGTTCCCAAAAAGCCATATGCAGGTGACTGAATAAGGCAATGTGCGAAAACTGTGTCTTCCAGGCTATCATGGCTCAGCTCCCTCAAGAGCAAAAAGCGAAGATTGCTGAGCAAGTAGCGAGCTTCCAGGAAGAAAAGAGCAAATTGGATGCTGAAGTGTCAAAATGGGATGACAGCGGTAATGATATAATCGTTCTGGCAAAACAAATGTGTATGATTATGATGGAGATGACAGACTTCACCAGGTGAGCCTTTCTAATTTGGGCACCCATTGCTGCCTCCTAAAATTGGCGGGGATGGTGATCTGCCAGCGGAGTATGTTGTGAGGGCTCTTAAGAGCCTTATTTCTTACAATTTCCGTTTAAATGTTACACTATTAAAGTCTCAGAAGATGCTTTGCTATATAGTGGCTGCGTGGTAATAACTGTTTAAATTGATCTGCAGCAACACAGTGACTATTGCCTGTCATTCTTTCTTTCCTAAGGGTGATTCTTGTCCCCAAGAATATATAGTTTTGCTCATTTCTTTATAGAAATTAATATGGGCTTCTCGGTGCTGCTGTGCTGCAGAAATGGTTCCTCATACTGCTTTTTGCTAATGGCTTCGGAAATCCATTTACGACACTCCATACAAGAGTGGGTTTGGGGGGATTGTTTTGTTTTGTTTTTACACTTGCTGTTGCATTCCAGAAAAATTACAGATCTGGCTTCTAAAATACTACCTCTCGTAATTATCAGGTTGCTCGAAGCAGTAAATTTTAAGGTGTTTTTATTTCTACATTTAAGCTAAATATGGGGAGGGAGCTAAGGGGGAATTTACTTTAAAATGAAGGGACTGCAATGGTTACACTCAGTGGCCTGCTGATTTCAGTGCACAAGTCCACCTGACCCAGGCAGCTGGGTGAGGGATCACTTGCAATACAAAGTGAAATAGAGTAAGAAGAGAAATACCCTGTTCTCTCTTCCATTTCTTTGGTGCTAGCAGGTAGATTTTGTTCTGTTTTGCAGAGGCAAAGGTCCGCTAAAAAACACATCGGATGTGATCAGTGCAGCCAAGAAAATTGCAGAGGCCGGGTCAAGGATGGACAAGCTGGGCCGGACTATTGCTGACCACGTAAGTCACAGTTCATTTTCTTACCTCTCCAGCATAAATGAGCAGCAGGAGGTTGTTCAGCACTGCAGACATGGTGAACACAAGGATATTTCTTCAGTTTTGAGGAGTCTAGGTGCTTTCCTTCTTTTATTTTTAACTGATTTCCCCAGAATTGCTTGCTCAAAACCGGTAGCCTCTTCTTTCTAGCTGCTCTCCTGGCACCCTGACCAACGCAAAACATGGTTAAATATGTTGAGTAGTAACCCTGGCAGCTCCTTGGCTGGAATTGAGGACCTAGCATTTTGCAGAAGCAAAATGACAACACTGCTTCATGTCACATAGTATCTAGGCCAGTTTCCTTAACCGAGCAGGACTGCAGCTGAGTTCGAGGGGCTCAGGAGGTGCCCGAGCGCTTTGCACAGCGACGACAAGGCCGGGTAGGCAAGCCAGTAATTACTGCCTGTGGCCTATTGCACAACCTTTACCATTCTCTGGGGAGGAAACCTTTTAATATTACTGATTTTTAAATGCTCCCTAGACCGAACAGGGAGACTGTGAGAATTCCCCAGGATTTTGTTATCTGCTCCCAGTTGCCTCCATTCCGTGTTACTGCCACAGAGGAGACTGTGAACAAAAGGCACATGGGGACCCAAGTATTTGCTACGTTGTCACAAGCTCTTGTAGACATAGCTATGCCAAATGTGCAAGGTTTGAAAGAAATTTGGGATTAAATGAGCGTGGACAACTCAGGTTTTGATGTCATGCACTGGCCTGTGCCACTTCTGAGACCGTGTTGGGCCAAGCAAAGTGCCTTTGGTCTCAGTCCACACCCAAATTGCAGAGAAACATCAGCATTAGTAATGGTAGCCTGGATTCAAACGAGACCCTGAAATGCAAGTATGTCAAGTCGGAGGTACATAATTGCCTAAACTTTATTTTATAGAGCTGTAGCTTGCTTTTCAGGCTTTCTCTGAATGTAAATTCGTAATACAAGTTTTCAAATAAAACCATTTCAGCGTGGAAGTAAATCTTTGTAATGCAGATCTCTCCTAAATGTTTCATCCAGAGGATGTTGTGTTCGCCTTAATTTATTAATGATACAGAGAGAAATCTTCTGCGAGGAGATAAAAGTTGAAAAGTGGGTTTACTTGCTCCTTCCTTTCTGGAAGCATCAGGTGCCACTGCTAGATCAGGTGAATCACCCGAGGAGGAGATATTTAGATGTTGGGGTAAAGCTTTATGGTGCAGTGTGGGTTTTTTGGGAGGGGATTGTTTATTTTGTGGGCTCTTTTAATTCAGATGTTTTATTCAAACTTGGTATAAAGGTTTTTGATCATGGAGCCATGCAAAAATTTGGAAGAAAGCACAGTGCTTGCTTTCTATAGAAGCCAACTCCTTAAAAAATAAACACAGGTTTGAAGACGGATATGATCAGGGATGCCAAGTTAGTCATTTAGACAAGACTCCAGCTTTTTTTCCCCCCTCTGCTCCATAGACTTCTGCTGCTTGCAGCTTCCATATTTCACTGGATAAGCCTACATGCACTTCAGGAACTTTTAGTAATCCGTTAGTGCAGAGCTGCTGCCAGGGAACAGGCCTCGCGGCGCGGGCCGCGCTGGTGCCTCCCCGTGCCTCATACAGGGCTTGGACAAATGGATGTGTTTGCCTGTTCGGTTAACCATGCGACAGGAGGTGAATCATGACCTACCTGTTAGTGTGTCAGGAAATCCTAACTCCTGCTGTCAGGCGGTTTTATAACACATTTCCTTCGAAACCGTAAAAGCCATTATCCGAGGTAGTTCAAGCCTGTTGAGAAGTGTCTCGCCATCAGCCCGCGCGTCATCCCGAGGGTTTTCCATCTTCTGCTCGGAGAAGCAGGCTGCCTGTTTGGAAAGGGGCTGTCGAGAAGTTGCGAGTGCCGCAAAAAGGAAAATTATTTTTCTGCAAGAATGATTCGCTATATATATATATATAAATTCTTTTGTATGTTGAAGTGCTAGCAGCACAAAAGCAATGCTTCTGCTGCCTCCAGCCTTTGGTGAGGGGCTGCATCAGCGTCTGCTCATAAGAACTGAAAGGAGCTGGTGTGGAAGAGGCTTCGGCGCTGCCCCGCATCCCAGTGAAACGTTCATCTGGACAGACATTGAGGATCCATCCTGGTTCTGAAGCAGAGCAGCCAACATAGCTTTCACCAAGCAGGACACGTGTGTTTTCATCAGCATCTTGGCAAGGTTTCCTGGCAAGATCGGAGGCAGCGGATGAACGTGGGGGTGAGCAGGCCATCGAAAACCAGGCACCCGTGCATGGAGATGTCCTGTGTCTCCTTTGCCTTCTGGGTGGCACTGGGCCACGTGCCCTGTTACTGCTGATTCCCAACAGTTCTGCAGTTTTCCTGTCTGAGAATCCTCCCACGCTAGCTCTTAATATTTGGTTTTGTGCCTGTGGCTCCTGTAGGTTAATACGGAAACATAATCTCAGGTTTGAACTCATCTTTTATTTTTCTTTTTTCCCTAAATGTTTCCATATAGGAAACAGCAGGGATTATGCAGGCATATGCAGGTCTTTTGTCATGCTGTTCTTCATCTAATGCTACGGCTCTGCTCAACCTTCATCTCGACTGGAGTCTTAGAGCTGCAATCTCTGTTCTGCTTGTGTAAACACCACGGGATGTGGCTTTTCCAAGTCACAGCATACGTAAATACAACAGAATAGCATTTCCCGTTCAATTCCTTGCACTGCTAATGCTTCATTGCCTTCCTCGGCCCTGAGTAAACACATAGCAGTCTCTTGC